ACAAATTAGACAAACTACAAAATTTCAGTCGAATTTTGTGTTAAAACAGTTTTTGCAACTGTAAACAACAAATAATACTGATAGTTTTAACAAGCAGAAAAATGTAGGAGACAAATATAAGAAGCAAAGACTAATGTGGATTCAATCACATATCCAAAAAGAGATGGACAGAAGTTCACTTTTTTTATTTCCATCCCCGATTAGCTATTTGATGCGTAAAGAGCAACACTGAGTCTGAAGCTTCTAGCCCCAGAAAACCAACATTTCCTCATATGTCTTTATGACCATTAAAATACATTTCCTCAATTTTTGCTTTCATACAAACTGGGTTTGCAATTTAAGATATGTTGTTTATATTAACTGGTTATTAGCAGGTTTTACTAAAACAACATTTTATTTTTCACAGTTTGAACACAACTAAATCTCGAATTTGACTTCAGAGTTTGAACAAAATAACAACAAACAAACATTTCCTGACCCAAATCTATAAATGTAGCTCAAAACTGAGGTAGTTTGCTTTAGGATTTTTTTGGGGGGACATACTGTATAACAGACCTTTCTTCCACTTTTCCTCAGTTTTTGGTCGCTGCTACGAAGGCCTCAGCCTTTTAAACGTGATGGCGTGCAATCATAAATCCCTCTCGTTAGGAGGCGATGTAATCACTCTCACCTCTGATTAGTCATTAACAGTCCAGTTAGTGAAATGGTGAGACGCAGGTGGGTGGGAGACTGCTCACATCACCGGGGTCTGCCTCAACTCGTTAATGATCGAGGTAATTAGCATTGTTTCAGTCCTCCTGCTTGTTTACGCTCACCTGCCATGAGGGGAGAGTCAGAAAACACTGCTGCAGGGGACAGTAAACACACCCCGGAGGAAGGGAAACAAGTGATGCTGAAGCTGAGAGCTGAAATCAAAATGTCAGCAAAGTTCAGCTTCAAGAAACACAAGCAGGAGAAGGTAAAAGAGATGGAACTGATAAGCAGAAGCATCTCAGCCATCATTAGGGGTCCGTGTGGCAGTGCTCGTCTCCGTTACTCATAGCAACACTGCATACCACGATAATAGGCTGACTGATGATTGGTCAGGCTGCAACACTCCGGTAAGTGACCTCACCGCTGTGAGAGTGAGCTCACTGTCTCAGTATTTTGATAACCCAGCCAGTTTTGTAGTGATTCTCGGAATCGCCACCAAACCTGTTGATGAGAAGATTCAAACCCCCGTCTTCAGCATTGCACCGTTAAATCTAGACGTTCTCCATCCCAGCTCACAACAATCACGGTTTTATCCATAACATAAAAGCAACCAGTTGCTCCTCTGTCTTTGGTGGTTCCCTCTCAGCACGAGGCTGTTTATCAAAGCTTTTAATAATGCAGGCGGTAATATGATAAGTGCTGCTTAAACACCGACTCAGACATAATAAACACAGTTCTGCTGTTGTTCTAACGCAGCACAAGACGAAGAGAAAAATTCTGGAGTTTTGTTCTCTCGCTTCCAAAGTATTCTCGGTCACGCCAGAGAGCTGCAGTGTTGGGGAGCCAGAACATCGACCTGAAGAGCTCTGCTAGTGTGCACGCCTAATGCAACCCAGTCAGGGAATACTGCCAGTCTACTGTTACTCCAGTGGGGTTTATCATGCACACACCTACATGCCTGTATGTGCACACGCAAACACAGAAACACAGAAGGTGTGTGTGTGTGTGTGAGAGAGAGAGAGAGAAACGGAGAGTGAGGCAGAGCTTTATGGTGTGTCACTGATCTCTGCAAGCGTGCACAAACACGTCCAATGCAGCCACGGCCTGCTTGTCAAAAGTCACAAATATGCAGCTCTCATCCTAAGATTTTAGAGGCCGACGTGCAAATGGATGTCGCCGCGTTGTGTCGGGCTGTAAAGGACTTCCATCCAACTGGAATTTGCAGTCATATGAGACAAAAAGGGAAAACAAGAGAAAGGTCGGAGCTGCAAGGCCGGTAACTGAAATGGTGAAAAGCACTTCACACCTCGTCCAGAAATGTTACGACCCAAGCAACTAAGTAGATTAGTAAATTTAGTGGACTTAAAATTAAAATGAAAAACCAAATTTTTATAGATCACATTTAAATTGTGATAATAAGAAAACAAAATCAAATGTGCCTCAGAAATTAGCGGCTTCTTGAATAACAAAACATTTGCTACTTGAGACTGAAACTGTTCTCAGAAGGAGAGGGGAACAAGGAAACACACACACACACACACACACACACACACACACACACACACACACACACACACACACACACCAACGCCTTCAGTCCCCGGTTGTCTTGATTATACATTTGGGTTGGATCTGAAATGTATCTTGATTAAATATTGAGAGGGACCACTCTCGCATCACATGTCCTCAATGTTTCACTCTTCCTCTGAGGTTTCTGATACTCTGTGATGAGAGTGTGTGTGTGTGTGTGTGTGTGTGTGTGTGTGTGTGTGTGTGTGTGTGTGTGTGTGTGTGTGTGTGTGTGTGTGTGTGTGTGTGTGTGTGTTTGCCCCAAAGCTAAACATGATTTTATTTATCAAGTGTCATGTCATTAGCGACTTGGCTCATCACAAACACTATTAAAACTCCAGTGCTCTGAATGACCGCAGGTCGGGACGATGGATTAGAACCACGGCAGCGTCACCCCGCCTAATTTCTGTTTTTCTTTCAGATCATTTTCAACTAATAACTCTGCACATCACAGTTAGCAATTAATCTGGTAAAAAAGTTTTAAATAAATGATTAAAAATGGCTCAACAGGACCACCAAATGTCTTTTCTTTCTTGTTTGATTGCATTTCTATTTTTCACCTTTTATCTTCACTATTTGTTTTCTAAATTGCTGAGAAAAGTAACTTAGAAAGTAATATTAAGTTCACATCTGGTGAACTTTCATGTTTTAGCGTTGGGTGTGCCTAACCCTGGTCCCCGAGATCCCCTATCCAGCATGTTTTTGTTATTTCCCTGTTTCAACACACCTGGTTTGAATCAGTGGTGATTAAGCTTCTGCAGAGCTTAATGAGCTGCTGAAGAGCTAGTTCAGCCATTGAATCAGGTGTGCTGGAGCAAAGAACTAACTAAAACATGCTGGATAGGGGCTCTCCAGGACCAACGTTCGGCTCACCTGTCTTAGAAGCTCATCAGCTATTGTGGTAAACTTTTGTTCAGTACAAAAAAAGCAAAACAAAATTAATTTTATAACTGTAATTCCAAAAGTTTCACATAAACATTGTTTTCATCTCCTTTTAAATGGATACGTTGCAATTTTTTCATACTTTAAATCATTTTCTTGAGCCAGTATGTGCTAAAATGACCCTTAGGTTTAATGAAAGGCCACCCAGCCCCTATCCAGAATATTCCACTTGCAACTTCATACTGGCTGGCCGCTCTGTTGGGACTTGCAGTCTGGTTTCAACATGTTTCCTGCATGTTTTAGATCACAAACACAGCTTATTAGTTTAATTTTGTGATGAATCACTCCTGTAGACACTAAGGAAGGCTGGGAGACGTTTCATCTGCTAGATTAAAGCTGCTTTCCGGAGTTTTCCCCTTTCAGAAATGATGTATGATTTTTCTGAAATCCGTAAAAGTGATTATCTCATCATGTACTGTGATAAAATGTACGCAATACGTCTTTTTTTGTTGCTAAGCACGCCCCCTGCCTCACAGAGCTCTGTGCAATAGGAAACTGAGCGCCGACCAGAACTAACCAATAATGTTAGACTACCGCTTACTTGCTTCAAATTTAAGGAGTACCTCAACTGATGCAGTTGATGAACTTTTCACGGACAAGAAAGTCTCTAAAATATAAATATATGATAACACAGCATGACATGAGGCTAATACTCATAAAACAACATGTTTGTCGGCTATAGAAGCACATTTATAAACAGAAACGTGAAGTCACCATCTTAAACAGAGGAATAGACTTTTTGTGTGATATGCTGGTCAGCCACTAGATGGTGCCATCGGATAAGAGAAATACTCCGGAAAGAAGCTTTAAGGTGTTAAAAAGAAGAACGCACAGCGAGGAGTTTTGATTTTGGTTCTACAAACGCACACTAGGGGGTGCTAAAAGCAAGCCAAAACTGCATATGCAGCATTTTCATATTTTAAATCAAATTCTTGACACAGTATGTGCTAAAATGAGCCTTTACAGGTTTAATGAAAAGTCACTCAGACCCCCACCGTCCCTTGCAGCCAGAATATTGCACTTCCTATTTCAGAGGGCCAGTGTTGTAGCAATCTAGTTATCCCCAGTAGAATTTGTTTCCTCTGCATTGGGCGCTGGTGATACGTTGATTTGAGTTCCCCCTCTCACAAAAAACAACCCCTCACGCTGACACTTAGTCTAACTATAAACAGTCACCAAAAATATATGTTTTGCACAATTATAATTTATGAAATTACTTTGTGTGGAATTATTTTTATGTTTGTTATAGAGTTATGGTTAGGGTAAATGTTAGGGTAAGGGTTAGGACACGCATTTTTTGGAGTGGATGGTTCCAACTTGTGGCTGTGTGGAGGTGAAACAGATCTCGAGGGGGGAACAGATATAGACAAAACACCGGCACGCGCTCTCGACGGCGGGAAACAAATTCTACCAGCAGAGGAAACAAATTCTACTAAATGGACACTAGGGGGTGCTAAATGCAAGCCAAATCGCCTAGTATCCCTTTAAAATGAATAATGCATAGAGGAGTGCAAAGCTTAGAAGCCAAACTCATTAAGAACATAAATGTAAGTTAGAATTTTTGTTAAGTACTTTTACAAAATCATTTATCCACGTGCTACAGCAAGATAATAAAATAAATCATGGCTATTTTCTTGCATAACCCAGAAGTAATCAGAGGATTTTTTCATAGGTTTCAGCTCAAGACGGTGCTTTTGACATTTTAAGCAGCTTTTGGATATTTTTACATTTTTCTTTTTATCTTTCACATATATTTATATAAAACAGCTTTAGTAGTATTAGAAATGTTCACGCACCTGCTGCTGCTGCTGTTGATCTGACACCTTCATTAATGGAGGAAACATCTGGATAAAAAAGGGAAATACAGAATAATTAAAGACAGTTACTGACAGAATCACTAAGTCTGCCACATTTTTCCTATCAACAGGTATAGGAAGATGCATAAAATACTGAAACACAGTGGCTGTTCCATATTTTTGTACAAACATTTTTTCTATCAAAAGGAAAACTGAAATACAAAAATCTATGACAAATTTTTATTTTAAACAAATCTCAGTTCGTTATTACAGTTTTTTTCTTTTGCTTTTATAAACACAAATTTAAGTTTTATTTTGGTGAAACTTCCACAAGTCTGAGGCATACCTTTTCTCAAGAGGAAGTTGGAGGTTACAAACCGGTAGCATACAAACGCAAAGTTGGGATTTAACACGAGAGTAGGTGGGTTTTTCCTGTTTCTCTGACTGTAGGTGTTTACTGTGTCTCGCGGAGGTGGACATTTGCGTCTCACGGCTGTCCGACAGTAACATTCTCACTGGCACACAGACCTGACCTAGAATTGCTACTTAGAATTTGGACTGAACCATTATGGCGGATCGGAGTGGGGGGGAGACGGCAGGAAATCTTGACTGGGATGTAATGGAGGAGGACGACTGGAAAGCTCAGGCAAAAAGGGGGGGGAGGTATATTCCTATTTTATAATGTTACCGTGATAATGTTGTGATTTGATAAATGGACGTTGTGAAGTCGAGAAAAACGGATATTACGCTAACATCCAGGTAAGTGTTTCCCATCTCTTTTTTTCCAAACACGTAGCTGGAAAGTGTCGCTACCAGCCGCTCGCCTCCTGGCAACGGGCACACGCGGGTCCTCCTCCCGGGGACATCTCACTCCGGTATCCGTTCTTCTCCTGCCTCTGTTTCCCCATGAAAAAAAAAACGACTGGCTGTAGCGAACCCCACGTCGCGTCTGGCCTGGCAGACAGCGAGCTACCCCCATTTCTGTCGTAAATGGCGCAACAAAAGCGGATTATTCACGATGTTTTCGGCATGGTGTAAAACCCGCGGAGAATTATTGGCTTTTTACCCCATTATTATACCGGAGGACCGCCCGTGATTCGCGAAAATGAAGAAAAAGGATACAATGCCGCATACATGTTCGGCATTCTTCTGGAGCCACACAGCGTTGGTAATGTATTTTAGTTGATTTAAAACGTGTTTAGTGTGATTTATAAACGCGTAAAGAGATCATAGGCCTCGGCTTGTGATTGTGTCGGCCAACCTTAGCGATTTAATTGTTACATTGTTAACGGAGCTAGCAGAACTTGAAAACGAACGTTTACCTAAGGCGGGCCGGGGTTGTCTTTTTAACCGACAAAAGCCTTGAAACGAGTCTCGTTTATGTTGTGTTTTTATTGTGTATGTGTGAGAAAGAGTGTGTGTGTGTGTTTGTGGCCGACGTCGTTGTTCTCGCTCTCATCAGCCGTCCACTGCCTCCCTCTTCGGGGAAGACTTTGTTTGAGCTGGCCGAGGCTTCATGAATGCCTCCCTTCCCCCCCTCCCCAGTTCTCTGGCGAAACAGGAACAACTTCTTTTAGGAAAAAGGAAAAAAAAAGTTCCTGGAGTTTCAAGCGCCATGGAATTACTTTTGTCCGCCAAGAGTTGTCCAGTGAGGCGCTGAGATTTCAGGGAGGAGGAGGGGGAAAGCCTGGTACTTCCAACAGTTGTTGTGTGCATTAGGTTTATTTGCAGAGTTTTGTGTTTGTAGATGGGAGCGTGTGCTCATTTTTAGATCGACTTCCTTTCGAGCAATCCCCGTTTGAGAGACTTGTGGCTTTGTGTTGTTATCTTGGCCAACACAAGAGAGCTGAGTGTGACAAAGAATGTGTTTTGCATTTTGCCATTCTATAACTTGACTCACGTGGAGGAAAAAGACTACATGTCCCTTTTATTCGTGCAAATCTAAGGTAAACACTGACTTGATTGCATTTCTTTAATATTTGCCATTAAGTTATGTTAAAAAGATGTCTAATCGTCTCTAAATATGATTAGAGCACCATCAAATAATTTCCAAATCATATTGTTTGCCTTAACTCCTTTACCTGGTGCTCATATTAAAAATAAGTTCCTCTGAGTAGAGCTAAGGGGTGTCAGTGTCTTTTGCAAAGACAGTTTTGCACAGCTTCCTCTTCAATTGCTAGGCAACACTGCTGTCTGCCATTAATGTGTGTGTGTGCGTGCGCGCGCACGCGTGTCGTGTTGTCTTTAGATTGTGTCAAATGCATCTTTTATGTGTTCACCACCTTTTTAAAAAAATCACAGACGAGATCTTCAAAATCAAATGTTTTTCTCACTCATCATAAGAAAGCAATCACAGATTGCCTTATGTGCACAGTGGTCGATAACTGAAGTATAAATGAGTATCTGGGTTACTGTAGTCCCTAAAGACCTCAGCTGTGCTCTGGTTGTGTGTTTACTACTTGCTGGTCTTGTCAACATGAGCGACGGAGTGCTTTTTCATGCCGTTTGCTTGTTTGTGTTTCACTCGATGAGCAAAGTTGCCTCCCCTCTGTTCCAGGTGTGAATGACTTGTGGCTGTAGGTTGTCGTGAGAGGACCAGGTTCCTGCCTAGCCTCTGTGGCTGACCGGGGAGGAGTCGGGAGTGGAGAGCAGACATCAGTGCCCAGGGGACCTGAGGCCTGGTTCTCCATATGAGGCCCTGCTGAAAGGGCAGGGGGGCTTCTGAGGTAACCCAGCTCCACTTGGGCTCCAGCTATTCCTTCTCACTTTATTGCAATTATATTTTTGTTCGTGCATGTCATGTTGTCAATGATGTGCATGCATAACACACACAAACATGTAGAAGAAATCACAACAGTAACACACTTGTACTTTTATCAAGTCTGTGCATAAGCATTCTTGCAGTTATAAAGAAAGAAAGAAAACGATCTTTTAAATAGTGCCTCTCAAGAAAAAAAATCACGAGATGCTTCAAAAGTGACCAATGAAATGTTTCGAAGGGATTGTACTTGTTTTCACTGTGCTTTAGAGGAGAAAAAAAGCCAAATTAGCAAAGAATGACACATTTTTAAGCTCCGGTGCACTTTCCATATCAGGTACGAGAGTCAGAGTCTAGCCAGTGTTGGAAATTGATGGCTTAACACCACTGTGATGCAGCAGGAACAAGCCGGGCAGAAGCTCTTCCTAAGATTTGTCATTATCTCTTTGACATTTATCTTTGCAAGCCCCTGCATTCTAATGAGCACATCTTTGAATTGTGTGCTTATACCCTGTCGAACTGGTCAGGGGAAGTGGTTTCGGGAGAAGGCGCTCCGAGCTGAACCTCTTCGGGCGATGCAACTCTGTGTTTGGTCTCGGTCTCTGTCCTGCACATGCTGAGGACAAAAAACACGTTCAGGATGCTCGTCCTGAGAACGCAGCGCACGCTGTTTGTTTATCTGCTATCTACTTAACCGAAAACCACAGCAAGTTGAAGGACGCGGGGAAATGAATATTGATGCAAAGCGGCAAAGGATTTATTTTTGCCTCTGTGGTTTCGGCCTCTTACGTTTCCATGCATTTGTTTGCTTCATGGGATTTCTAATTAAAACTCGCAAGGCTTGTGTTGCGTGCGACATGGAGGGATGTGTCGGCTTGACTAGCTGGTGGGGGGGGGGGGGGTGGTCCCCTCCTGAGTCATACAGTAGATTAAATCTCATGCAGACTGTCTGTTTTTCTGTTGCTTCAAATGTTTATTTTCACTCTGAAGGATTTTGTTGTTGTGGTTGTCTCATAAACTTTGAAGGGTTTCCGTATACCTAGACTGAGACGTCTATTCACAATTCATTAAAGATTATAGTTGCTGAATGACTCCTACAGTAGTCGAGCCTCCATAGAACAGTAATTATGTAGGATTGCCTTAGGAGTAGTGGAAATACAGTTTGACATATACCACTAAATGTTGTCAGTAAAGCTGTGGGTTTTCTATCAGTTTATGTAGTAGAGATGTTTAATTGTTGCCATAGATAAATAAAACTGCAAAATGAGGGTTTGTTATGCAAAAATGCCATCATCAAATTGTTGGTTTGGAAAATAATTAAAAAAATCTTATATTTGTTTCTAGGAGACAATTGAGCTGCAGCTCTAAAGCCACCTTTCCACCAAATGTGAAAGTGTCGCAAAACGGCAGCGAAAAATAATTTTATGCAATCAGCCACTGTTTTGGTGGATGGTTTTCTTTCCACCGGCAGCAACGCGTAACATTTTGGATCCATCCCAGAAGCGAAGGGACGCTATCATTACCTTTTAACGTTTTGAGTGCTTTCATTAATACGAGTCTATTTTTTACGCGCTACGTTGTCCAAACACGTCAAACTCCGCAGTTTCAATTGAGCCAGACAGTAAGTCACGCACAAAAGTGGTGTAAAACATCTGGAAACTTTCAAAATAAAAGTCATGTGCAGATAAATGTACGGCATTTCCTGTGAAACCCCAGTTGTTGATGTAAACCGAACAGAAAATAACTCGCAGTCTTTTTTGGATACATGCAGCTGTCTTTCTCCTTACTTGTTACTTTGTGGACTTCTGAAATCATGCATGGTGTTGCAATTTTCCCGTGATTTTGTGACTTTGCGTGGCCAGTTGCGTGGAACGCTTTCGCTCCCTTTTCGCGTCTGAAACACTCCCGGTTGAAAGGGAGGTCGCGGGTAAAAAGCTGCGATTACATTACACAACGCTTTCATGTTCTCCTTGGTTACTGTTACTAACTCGGAGAAGCCATCACAGCTAACTGCATGATTACAAAGAGAGCCGTCATTTCTGAATCAATTCCTCAAACGGCTCTTGACAATTTTTGTTGGCAACAACAGTTAATAACATGGAGGAGCCTTGAGAAGGGTCAGCATAATGCCAAGAATGGCTCTGTACAAGAATGTGTTTGGAATTATATGGAGGGAAAAAAACTGGAATTAGAGGTACAGATCTTAAGATCACAAAGCCAGAGGGTGAAGCATCATCTTGTGTCAGTTGTCTTTTGTGAGAGAAACATTGTTGAAGACCAGCGTTGTTCTTGTACTGCAGGTCAACAGCCTGCTAAGTGACTAGCTTAAAAAAGTTTACCACTGCTAGGCTTTATGTGATTGATATTGTTTTAAATTACCTGGTTGGTGATTTATTATCGTGATTCTTCAGTTAAGCAATATTGATTATATATATATATATATATATATTTTTTTTTCTTTTCATCAAGTTGACGCAGTGATAGGTAGATCTTGTTGTATTGTTGTTGTGTCCCTTTTTTTGTGTCCCTTTGGTTTTTTTTTTTGTCTTTTTTTTCTGCAGGTCTAGAAGCAGACTCTTGTTCATTTTTGTTTATTTTTGTGGACCCCCCCCCTCTCCCCACCTTTTCTTTTCCTTTCTCTTTCACCTCTGTCTCCGTGTCTGGTCAGAATTACAAAGCATTCAACAACAATAACAATAAAGTTTTAAGTATCAGGCGTGACATTAAAAGCAAACGCTTTGATGCTCCACCTGAGAATAAATCTGTAAGGCTTGTCACCAGCATTCAGACATCAATTCTGCTTGCTTCACAGCCAGACAGGACACGTTTAAAAAAAAAAAAAATATATATATATATTGTTTTAAATTACTAGGGCTGTAGCGAAGCCTCGATGAAGTCGACGGCTCGATTCTAAAAATTTGTCGACGTCAGATCCGGAAGTCGACGCACCGCGCCCACTTGTTGCATCCCCAGGAGTTTGTAAATAGAGGAGGAATCTGCCTGTTTTTCCTCTAGTTCGCCCTCTTCTCCGCCTTCACTAACATCTCCGCCAAATACCGAAGACCCGGAACAACGTCCGTCCACTACTAGATTATTTTCCTGTTTTGCCCCTTCGTCTCCCGGCAACAGACAACAACTTCCGGGGTCAGATGTGCGCTGCTCCGTCTCTGTCGCAGATGTAGAAAATCACCGGGAGCGCTTCTCCCTTCATTAAGGAGCTTCTTTCAGACATGAGGAGAGCTGTTTTGGTGGTAGCAGTCTCTCCTCCGTGCTGGTCTGTTTGCTGCTGGGTGTTTTTGGTTTATTTAAACTTGGTAACTTGAACTTAATGTTGGTAAAGCTACTGTTAGCATCTTCGCTAACAGCTTCTTGCGTTGGGATAAGCTGTTACGTTTTGGTTTAGAGTTCATCTTTTTTGTGGTGTAGATCTCCCTTTTATTACATTTAGAGTGTTGTGGGTTTTCGGTTTAGTTTAAAATGTAAGACCACTCGCCTCACGCACATAAGTGACCAAAACAAAGCAGCATGGAGACACTCCATCTTCTACCACCTCTCAGGCAGCAGCCTGCACTCCCAGGTTCTACACGTCACCAGAAAACCAACACAATAAACGCAGTGTTATACAAAATGGAAGGCCTGTAGTGTTTATTCTCTTACAGTAAGAATTTATCAATTTTTTTGAGGAATTTATTTGAGATTAGGGCTGCAACAACGAATCGATAAATTCGATGAAAATCGATTACTAAAAGCGTTGGCAACGAATTGCGTCATCGATTCGTTGTGTCGCACAACTCTTCCAAAAGCGCCCCCCCCTTTCCCGCCCGCCGTTGCGCGCAGACCAGAGCAAGTCAGATCAGCGCGAGGGAGAGCCGGCAGATCAGCGCGAGGGAGAGCCAGCAGATCAGCGCGAGGGAGAGCCAGCAGATCAGCGCGAGGGAGAGCCGGCAGATCAGCGCAAGGGAGAGCCAGCAGATCAGCGCGAGGGAGAGCCGGCAGATCAGCGCAAGGGAGAGCCGCAGATCAGCGCGAGGGAGAGCCTACAGACTTGCGCTGCTGCGAACCGGTTCCGCGTTCTTGCGCAGCGATCCAGGCAGCTGCTTCCAGCGCACGGTCCATTCTCAAAGTGGCGCAACAAAAAAACTATAATTAGCACACGATCGTTCTTGTCCGCACATGTTCTCTATTTTCTGTCTTATTTGTGCCTGAAGCGCGCTACTGCGGAGCTCATCACCTGTGCTGTGGTGATTTCACCTCACGCAGCATCGAAAACGCGCTCTGCGCTTTGCGGTCAGGAGATCTCTTTGATCTGCTCAAAAGTAACTGATGAGGTGAAAAGGTAAGAATCCAGGCAACAGATTTTCTGGAGAATTATGAGGAGATGCAGGAAGATGAGAGACAGACAGGACAGGAAAATAGTTAAATAAAAACAAGAAAACAAAACAAAGTGTTGAAAAGTAAAATGTAGTTAGATTTATCTCCACTACACGTTTTTACCAGTAAAAAACAATAAGTTACACACATGTCATATTTATACATCTGATACAATTCAGATCACCTTCAAAACTCAGTCACACACCCAGGGCCGTTTCAAGACATTTTGGGGGCCAAGGCAAAATGCCCCCCCCCCCCCCCCCCCACACACACACACACCCCATAACTGGGCTCCCCAGAAGCCTCTGTGTAATTCATACCCTCTCCAGGAGTGTTAGTTATACAGTGTTTATAAAAGCCCCTCAGACATTACTGACATGTTCTAATATTATCAGATGAAAAACTAAATTATCAGACATGCTGTCTCATCTGCTTCTTTTCTAAACTTGCAAAAAGTAACAAAACCATTTGAAAGCCACTATTTGTGGATTCTCTGAAAGTTTCCATGGAGTGTGTGACAACTTATTTTTTCATTGATCCTATCGTCTAATCTCACAGCTGAAACAAGCATCCTTAATAATCTGTGCACAGGAAGCT